GCTCTCTTCACCTGAGCAAGGAGAGCCCCACAGACATTATGCTCCAAAGAGCTCAGACTGCAGCTGTATGCAGCCCAATGGGAATGGAAAACATGATCTTGAGCAAAGCATTTCATCCCATGACTGTCTCATGAGCACATCTTCCTCAATCGGCAGGAAAGGGCTCACACTCCCTGCGTTGTCCACACAACAGCGTGTCCTTGACATAAAGCAGCATCAATCCCCTTCGAATGCAGCTCGCCACTGACTCCAAATTCCCGTTTCCAATAAAATCAGTTCTATGACAAACCAAAAGCAACTGGAATGTTTTTCATCTCCAGATTGCAGCCTGGGCACAAGCCAAAACCTACGTGGAAAGAATCAAATTCACAGAATCCCAGCATGGTTTGGGTTGGAAGGGACCTTAAAGCTCCTCCAGCTCCAACCCCTGCCACGGGCAGGGACCCCTTCCACTGGAGCAGCTTGCTCCAAGCCCCTGTGTCCAACCTGGCCTTGAGCACTGCCAGGGATGGGGCAGCCACAGCTTCTCTGGGCACCCTGTGCCAGCGCCTCAGCACCCTCACAGGGAAGAGCTTCTGCCTAAGAGCTCAGCTCAGTCTCCCCTCGGGCAGCTTAGAGCCATTCCCCTTGGCCTGTCCCTACAGGCCCTTGTCCCAAGCCCCTCTCCAGGTTTCCTGCAGCCCCTTTAGGCACTGGAGCTGCTCTCAGGTCTCCCCTTCAGGAGCCTTCTCTTCTCCAGCCCAGCTCTCTCAGCCACCCTGGCTCCAGCCCCGGCAGAAGCCTCCTCTGCAGAGCAAGGCAGGCCCGGGGGTGGGCAGGAATCGCAATGGCTGACTTGGCTTCCCACCCAGGCTGAGGGTTTCATGGAAACACTGCCCTGCCTGGCCCGCTGTGAGCGCTGCTGCAGTTCAGGTGCACACACGGAGCCGATTGTGCAACTACCACCTACATCAGCAAAACACCGGCGAAGAAAAACGCAATTCTGGCGTTCCCCTCACCCTGCAATCACGTTTTTGCTTTACAAGGCTTCAGTATTTCCCCTTTCCCACCACATTTCTCAGCAACCCAACCCACAGCTCCCGCTGCAGACGAAGGACACCGACACCCGGTACCCAGCGGGCTCCGGCTCGGGAGGCCCCACCGGATACCCCCGGTTCTACCTCGGGAGCGGCCCACCCGCGGTGCCCCCCCCCCAACCCCGAGGTGCCCCGCACTCACTGAGCCGCGGCTGCGAGAGGAAGTCCCGGGTCAGCGCCGCCGCCTGCTCGAAGGCCCCCGCCTGCTCCCGCGGCCCCCCGGGCCCAGCGCCGTTCACCAGCCCGCGCATAGCCCGCACCACTGCGGCCATCTTCTGCGCACGGCGGCTCTGCGCATGCGCGGGTTATAGCGAGCGGGAGGGAGGGACCCGCCCCGCGCGGCTCCCCCCCTCTCAGTGGGAGGGAGGAGCTGGCCAGGGTGCTGAGGGGGGGGGGGAGAGGGAAGGGAAAGGAAAAGGGGAAGGGAAAGGGGAAAGAAATGAAAGTAAAGGAGGAAAAGAAAAGGGTAAAGGGAGGGGGAAAGGGAAAGAGAAGAGGAAGAGGAAATGAAAGGGAAAAGGAGGAAAAGGAAAGGTAAGGGAAAAGGGAAGGGGAAAGGGAACGCAAAAGGAAAGGAGGAAAAGAAAAGGGAAAGGAAAAGGGAAAGGGAAAAGGAAAGGGAAAGACAAAAAGAAAAGGGTAAAGGGAGGGGGAAAGGGAAAAAGAAGAGGAAGAGGAAATGAAAGGGAAAATGAGGAAAAGAAAAGGAAAGGGAAAAGGGAAGGGGAAAGGGAACGCAAAAGGAAAGGAGGAAAATAAAAGGAAAAGGGAGGGAGAAAGGGAAAGAGAAGAGGAGGAGGAAAGGAAAGGAAAGGAAAGGAAAGGAAAGGAAAGGAAAGGAAAGGAAAGGAAAGGAAAGGAAAGGAAAGGAAAGGAAAGGAAAGGAAAGGAAAGGAAAGGAAAGGAAAGAAAGGAAAGAAAGGAAAAGAAAGGAAAGGAAAGAAAGGAAAGGAAAGAAGGAAAAGAAAGAAAAGGAAAAGGAAAAGAAAGGAAAAGGAAAAAAGGGAAGAGGAGGAGGAGAGGAAAGGAAAAATGGAAAAGGGAAGAGGAAGAGGAAAGGGAAAAGGAAAAAGGGAAAATGAGGAGGAAAGGGAAAAGGAAAAAGGGAAAATGAAAGGGGAAGAGTAAAAGGAAAGGAAAGAGGAAAGCAAAAGGGAAGGGGAAAGGGGAAGAGGAAGGGGAAGGAAAAGGGAATGGAAAACAGGTGAAAAGGAAAGAAAAAAAGTAAAGGGAAGACACAGGGAGGAAGGAAAGGAGGAAGGACGGAAAAAGGAAAGGAAGGAAACAAGAAAGCAAAAAGATGAAGCTAAATAACGAATGCGTTGACAGAAGGGTGGTCTCCCCAGGCTGCCCAGCAGCACAGTGAGCAGAGCACGAACGTCTGGCCTCTGCTACCAGAGCCGAAGAGCCAGGAGGGAAAGCTGGTGCTGGGAATGTTCAGCACACGGTCAGCTTTGCAACGGTGCCACCATCATTGCTGTCGCTCCTCGATTTCATGCCTAAAAGTCCATTTGAATGGAACCTCAATGCCTGAGGATTCCTTCTGCCCCCCAAGCAAAGCAGAGCCCTGCCCCCTGCCCATGCAACCCCAGCCCTGGGTATCCCACAGGCCCCATGCGTGTCCCCACACACAGCCCAGCCGTGGTTTCAGGGGTCTGCTTCATCCAGCACCAGTGCTTTGATCGGGGAGTGTAACACAGGCTGCTTCGGGTAGATAGGAGATAAGGAATAAGGCAGGAACTGGCAATGAGGCAGGGCTGCCCATGGAATCATCCCCCTTGTGCTGCTGCTGTGCACTCAGACGGCAAGGGCTTACAATTGTTTGAAGGACAGAACAAGAGCTGCCTTAAACCTTTAATTTAGTATAAAACAGAGAGTGGCTTATCTATAAACACCTTTTCCCATTAACCATTAGTCTGTCAACCTTTGATTTCCATACGAGTTATGCATCATTCATAGAATCATAGAATAGTTTGGGTTGGAAAGGACCTTAAGATCATTCAGTTCCAGCCCCCCTGCTGTGGGCAGGGACACCTCCCACTAAACCATGCTTGTTCTCCTCCCTGCTTCCCAGTGAAATGGAATTCTTTGATGTTCCAAACCAATCTTCTCTCTCCTTCTACGTTAAAAGTAGAAATGCTTTGGGGAAATACGTTCTCAAGGAGCTACTGGCAATCCTGAGCTGGTTTGGAGGAGCTACAAAGTGCCAAGGACCGCTGAGACTGATGGAAAGAGCAAACGATGACACAAGGAACTGTTTGGAGAAGGAGGGAGCAAACCCAATAAATAACCCCCAGACAAAGGGCAATGCTGTCGAGTTGATTAAACACCAAACCGGGCAGTTTCAGCCAGCTTTCAGCTCTCTTTCTAATGCAACGTGACCTTGAGCACATTACCCAGAGCTCCTGTTTGTTAAGAGTCAACAGGACTGAACAAAGTGTGCGCTTTACAGCTTTTACAATTACTTTACCTGCAGGGACAGGCCAAGGGGAATGGCTTTAAGCTGCCAGAGGGGAGACTGAGCTGAGCTCTTAGGCAGAAGCTCTTCCCTGTGAGGGTGCTGAGGCGCTGGCACAGGGTGCCCAGAGAAGCTGTGGCTGCCCCATCCCTGGCAGTGTTCAAGGCCAGGTTGGACACAGGGGCTTGGAGCAAGCTGCTCCAGTGGAAGGGGTCCCTGCCTGTGGCAGGGGGTTGGAGCTGGATGAGTTTTAAGGTCCCTTCATCCCAAACCATTCCATTATTCCACAGTGGGATGCATTTCCCTGCACTGTTGAGGTGAGCGAACAGCAGTGAACAACCTCCCCCAGTGCATCCTGCTCTCAGCTGAATCCAGAGGAACAGAAATCAGCTCCAAGGCTGGGATGGGGGCTCCTGCCAGCCCTTTTTCAGGCCCACATCCTATGCTGGGCCATCGGTTCTCCAATACTTCTCATTACACAAGAAATATTCACTATGTTTTACTATCTCAGGCTGGTGATTTCTTATTCTCTTTATCCTGCAGGGTTCTTGAAAGAAGAAATCCGAACATTTATAGTGGTATACAGAAACCACAGCTCAGAAAAACTGCCTGGAAAAAGCTGCCACACTCATGGAAATGCTCCCAGAGCACATATGAGCAAGCTTTCCCATCCTCTGTGCACAACAAGAGCCATGACACTGCAATCTCCTTCAGCTGCCGCGTGAGACAGGTCCTGACCTTGGGGCCTACAGAAGATGACAGTAACAGTAGAAATGGAAATAAGAAATAGAGATAGAAATGGAAATAGAAATAAGAAATTGAAACAGAAATAGTAATAGCCATCATATTAATAATAACTAATGATGATTACAGTAGTAATAGTAACAGTAATAATAGTAATAATTATAATAAGAATAAAAATAAGAAGAGGAAGAAGAGGAATAATAATTATAAGACAAAGAATAAGATTAAGATGAAGAAGAAGACAAAGAAGAAGAAGAAGAATTGGAAGAGGAAGAAGAAGAAGAAGAGGAATGATATTAATAACAAGAAGAAGAAGATGAAGAAGATGAAGACGAAGAAGATGAACAAGAAGAAGAGGAAGAAGAATAGGAAGAGGAAGAAGAGGAATGGTATTAATAGTAATAATAATACAAAGAAGAAGATGAAGACAAAGAAGAACAACAGAAAGAAGACTAAGAAGAATTATATTAATAATAATAACAAGAAGACGAAGAAAAAGACAAAGAAGATAAAGAAGAAGATAAAGAAGAAGAAGAGGAAGAAGAGGAAGAACTGTCTCCACATGCTCCTCCTCACCTGAAGGAGAACCTGAATTCTTTTCTACCCAGCGCCCAAGGTACAGCTGAGCACTTCTGAGCTCCCTCAGTAGATGGCAATGCTGCACTGCTCATCCCCGGTCTGCTTTGTGGCTGTTGAGAAAGCCATTTCCAGGCCTAGACATCCAATTCTCAACTCATGAAGTATATTTAAAGGCTTCAACTTCTGCTCTAATGCACACCCAGGGAATTCCTTGGTAGGATGCACTCATCTCACGTTATTGGCAATGGGTTTTGATCATGCAGAAGCCAGACAAATGGCCTCAGTGGCAGATTTACACCGCAACAGAGAAGGGGAGAATATGCTGAGGATTTATGCTCTTTCTCTGCAGTGAATCTCCATCTCCTGAATGAATGATGGGATCAGTTCTGCTTTAAAGAAAGAAATCATGGAGCAAAATGTCAGAAGTTTAAGAAAACAGAAATGATGGGAGAAAAGAGATCACCTTGTAAATGGCATCTGCAGCACCTCACCCTATGCAGGGATATCATTTCCCATGCAGCTTTACTGCCCTTGTTAGTCCAAGAAATATCTCCTTGTCCCTGGAGACAAAGCAGGCAGCACAACAGCACAGGGAAAGGCTGTGGACAAGTGCCAGCATCATTCTGTGGGGAGGAGGCAAGGGCAGAACTCAGATGTGGAGAGACCACAACCTGTTGATACCCAGAGGGAGGTGACATTGCCCCATAACTGCCCAAAATCAGGGGGCAGATCAGTGCATTCCAGCCTTACAAGTATCTCCATCCACTATGAACACTTATCATCACTCTTAGCATTATGGAAATGCTGATCTATGTTGTGGACTACGCAAAGGCAGCTTCTCAGCACCCCATGAGACTCAGAGACGTAAAGATTTCACCAGCTCAGCCCAGTGAACACACACATATGGCTCATAGTGATGTAAAAACTCCTACAAGTAGAGGAGTTGGAATGAGGGCATCTGTACCAAGGACCAGCAGCAAGAGAATGGCCATCAAGCACTAGAGAGTAGTCCAAGACCTAGTCTCTTATGTATTTCCCAGGGCCATATAATAACAGCAGCCCAGTGATGAATCCAATCACTGCCCCCATAAACACCCTCCAATGGGGCAGAGCATATTACCTTCATGGAGAAGAGGGATGAGCAGCCCCAGGGGAGCGTGTTTGGCGTGCTCAGAGCCAGGCAAGAGTTAAGGTGCTCAGAGAGAGATAAGCGTTGATGAAAGCCTGGAGATCGGGTGCCTCTGTGCAGATAAATGCTCCTGCCTTTCTCCTCCCAGCCCACCCCACTGCCCTGCTCTGACGCAGAGGGAGCTGCAGGGCTCAATGGAGCTTGTTTGAGGTTCCAATTAAATCTCCATGGAAAAGGGACACTCATATCCTCTTCTGATAGAAGGCAGTCATAAACCCTCGGGGAGCTGCAGAGCACATCACCTCCTGCAGCAGCAGCTGGCTCCTCGCACCAACATGGGCTGCAGGGTAAGAGCCTTTTCCACACCAACAGGTTTGTGTTGGGAAGGGAACAGGGGCTTGAGAGGTAAGGGCTCCATTATTCTGTGTGTATTTATTGTCTATGCTTCCTTACTCCTTATTTCTCTCTATTAATTTTTATATAGATCTCTTATTTTGTATTAATTCTACTTGGTATTTACTGGTACTTGGAGGTACAGTGAGAAACAACCCCTGTTTCCCAACTTAGTGACTTGTGTGGCACTCATACTTGATGACAGAGGGTTTGGAGCATTTGCTTTCCTTCATGAAAACACGATTAATATCATTGCCTGGGATTTCAGGAAACCAGGATTATTGGGAAGAGTGATAGTTCAGACTCAGCTCCATTCATTTGCCACTTGGTCTCTGAAGTGCCTGAGAGCTATAAAAGTGTAACTGGCTAATTGTTTGCTTTGTTTAGTGCAAGTTTCTGATTGATATTTGCAGCGTGGCCAAGCAAGCAATCTTCTCTCAGCTCTCCGAAGCTCTGATCTTAATCACATACATTAGGCTTTTAAGTCCTGTATCTTGCCATGCCATTTCAATTAGGTCAAATGTAAGGCAAATGAATTTCCTTGGAGACCAAATTTAACCTCTGAAGAACAAACATGGAATAGAAGATGTAGAGCTCACCATAGATAAGCTACCGGCTTGATCTGTGCTTTGAGTCTTCGGGAGAAGACTTAAATGATGCCTTGAAGCAGGTACAAGATGTGTCAGGAGGATGGAAATGGGTTAGAACACTCCATTTAAATGCAGGCTTGATAAACCCACTGCCTGATAGCAAAGCCTGTGGTCCCAGCTCCTCAGGAACAGCACTCAAATGCAAGACCTTGGGAGCTGCTTCCTCAATGGAGAAGCCAACAGCATCACGAGGTTGTAACCTGGAGCCTTTTCTTCCAAGGTTATTGGAGACCTTCATCCCTGAGGACCAGGATCCAGCCCTGGCCATGCCGCCCGCTGCGGAGCACGTGCCCTGGCGCTGGCTGGCAGCAGTGAGGGCATCCCGGAGGCTGGTGCTGGTGGTGGTGTTCGTGGCGCTGCTGCTGGACAACATGCTGCTGACCGTCGTGGGTACGCGCTGATGCTGGTCTCTGCTGGGTGCTGGGAGCCTTCAGGACCACCAACGTGTGGCCAGAACCATTCAGTTCTGGGTGCTGAGCCAGGGAATGGAGTCAGGTCACTAATTCCTTCCCTGTTTGCTTTCCCAGTACCGATCGTCCCCACTTTCCTCTACGCAACAGAATATGAAGGCACCAACAGCTCCACTGCCCCAGCTCAGACTGAAACAGCTCCTCCAGCCCTGAAAGCTCCTCCTTTCTCCTCCATGTTCTCCTATTTTGACAACACCACGGTGACTGTCTTGGTCTCCACCAGTGCCGTGGAGCTGGTGAATGGGATGGAGAGCAGCATCCCACCAGAGCCCACTGCGAGCATCCCACCATCACCCAGCAGCTGCCCTGATGGTGAGGAGTTCCTCGCCAAGGAAAACACCCGCGTGGGGCTGCTGTTTGCCTCCAAGGCTCTGGTACAGCTGATGGTGAACCCGGCCGTGGGTCTCCTGACCAACAGGTAGGGCAGAGACCTGGGTTTGTACCTTCAGGCTCAGCCTGCTGATGAAATAGGCTTTAGCTGAGCTTAAAGGCCTGTGCTGCCCATGTGCAGCCCCTGCAAGCATGGGATTACAGAACTGGTGGGTAGAATAGCAAGGGGGGTACATGTGCATTAAAACAAGCATGGATTTTTACCTATTCTAAAAGCCTACAAGTTGATATTACAACATAAGCCCCCTCAGACGAGGACAGATGCTATTTAATACCAGTAACCACTATATGAGGAATGATTCCCACCTTGCTATGGATATAATGTTTTCTGCCCAAGGTTTTTCTTTGCCTTTGTCTCCATCAGACACATGTGAGCTGAGCCAGGCTCATGCCCATGTATTCTGGGTGGGTTGATGAGTTGGCAAAACCAAGCCATGTCTCTGGGTGAGCTTTATGGGAGGACACTGGATGCTTCCTTGAACAGCCCTCACAGGCACATCCACGTTTAGGAGTTGCTCACCTGCCCACAGAGGCTGGGTAGCAAGGCCATATCTTGGGCTGGAATGAAGAATCCTCCCTGAGATGCCTCTTTCTCCCCTCTCTAGGATAGGATACCACATCCCCATGTTCATCGGGTTCGTCACCATGTTCCTCTCTACACTCAGTGAGTACTGCCCTTCTCTCTGCTCTTCACACCCAGCAGCACAGGAGGGAACACACTGCTCTGTGCCTGCACCACTGTCCCCACGCAGGGGAAAGGAGGGAGAGCAGAGCAACCCGTCCCAGAAACGGGTGACAAGAAAGGACAAGCATCCCTCTGCCCCCTCCAGCACCCAAACCAGTGCAAGCTGAGGCCGCTTTTACAGGGTTTTAATGCTCACTTCACAGCCCTGCCTGACCTATGTCTCCCCTTCCTCTGCAGTGTTTGCCTTCTCAGGCACCTACACCCTGCTGCTCATCGCCCGAGCCCTCCAAGGCATCGGGTCATCGTTCTCATCAGTCGCAGGTACAAGTTTTAGCTACCCCTTAGTCCCTGTGTTGGCTCCTCTCGTCTGGGTTCAGTTATCATCTCAGGAATGGTCAGCAGCACAGACACACCTTGTCTCAAGCCTTCTTTGGCTCCTGTGCCTGCCTGGAGCAGACAGACCCCCCCCAAAAACCCAGGCTGCTTTCAGAGGAGCCCCATCACTGTGGTACCAGCCATGCTCATACTGGCCTTTGCTTCCTCTGCTCCCAGGCTTGGGCATGCTGGCCAGTGTGTACACGGATGACTTCGAGAGAGGCAACGCAATGGGCATCGCTCTTGGAGGCTTGGCCTTGGGTGTGCTGAGTAAGGAAACCTTGCTCCCAGTGGGGTTGACTTCAACAGCATCTCCAGAGCTTTGCTGGCCATCACCTGCATGGCTGTGCCCCTTCCCTGGCCTGTCCTCCTCCCTCCTTTGCTCGTTCTCCGTGGGCACTTCCCATGGGATCTGACACCTTCCCCTAACACCTACTGGCTAGGAGGCAGGAGCCCAGCACTGCTGGGATGCAGAGGGTGATGGGGATGGTGGCAGTGCTGCTGTGTGACAAACCTTTCTCTTGCAGTCGGGGCCCCCTTTGGCAGTGTGATGTATGAATTTGTGGGGAAGTCATCTCCCTTCCTGGTCCTGGCATTCCTCGCCCTGTTGGATGGAGGTGAGAAGCCAAATGGTTAAATCCTACCCCAAATAAACATGAAGAGATTTAAATGTGGATGCTTCAGGGAGAGTCTGCCAGGGCTTGTGTGAAGGAAGAGGCACATTAATACACAGGTGACAGCAGCAGCACTGGTTATTCTGCCACTGCTAAATCAGATGTTTGCTGCCACCAGACGGTTGACATAGCAATAGAGTAAGAATTAGTCCCTCATTACTTAATAACCCCCCTTGATTGCGTTAATGGCTTAAATAGCACACAGAATCGTAGAATGGTTCGGGTTGGAAAGGACCCTAACATCATCCAGTTCCAACCCCCTGCCATGGGCAGGGACACCTCACTTTAGATCATGTCACCCAAGGCTCTGTTTGGGAATAGCCCACTTGGCTGCAGCCTCTTCACCACGCCACAGAGGAATCAGGCTTTGCCAGCATAAATGGTGATCCTCAGTCTTTCTCCATAGCTGCTATAGATGCCATGAGAGACAGCAGAAACAGGCATTCTTAGTGGGAAACATTAAGCTAATTCAATTATAGTCACAGTTACCATCCTTGCCTTGATGCAGTGCAAGATGTCTTTAATGAAGCATGTAAGAGCTCTTGGAAAATGAAGCGTAGGTGCAATACACGTGAAACTTCCTTTCTAAAACCTATTCCTTTCCACACTGAACTCCTGCCATGCTCTCGTGGCTCCCCACCCTGGCAGAGACCATTGGCATAACTGGCTGCTCCACAGGTTGACAAAGCACTTCTGACACGGTCCATGTCAGGGAGTTCTGCTGCTCCCTCCTATGGGAGCAGGGCTGGGAGCCACCTCTCCCCCTTCAGTGATGCTCCCAAACACAGTTGCTGTATCCCCATGGAGTTCTATTGATGGAAGGGGTCGGGCTGAAGGAAAAGCAATAGGGAAATGTGGACTGGAGCGATGCTGCCTCCAGAAACATGCTAACATCCATGTTTGCTTCCCAGCTCTGCAGCTCTGCACACTGCAGCCCTCCAAGATCTCCCCTGAGGTGAGTCCATAGGAGAGCTGGTGATGTGAATGAAGTGGAGGGGAGCATGCACCCATGAATTCCATGTATTCCATGTATTCCCCATGGATACATATGCAGCTCTGAGCTTAACCCCCCCTTTGCCATCCTGCAGAGCACCAAAGGCACACCAGTGCTCACCCTGCTGCGAGACCCCTACATCCTGGTTGCTGCAGGTAAAGCTGGGTATCAGCATACACCGTGCCCCCCGTGACTGAAGAAATCCCTTCGTGCTGCTTGAAACAGCAGCAAAAAGTGGCTAAAATAGAGCATTTCTCCCTTTTCTCCCCATCAGGAGCCCTCTGCTTCTCCAACATGGGGGTGGCCATGCTGGAGCCCACCTTGCCCATCTGGATGATGCAGACCATGTGCTCCCCAAAATGGCAACTAGGTAAGTGCTGTGCTTTGCAGCCTCCATCCTGCTTAATATCATTTAGCTAGAACTGGTCTTGCTTTGGCACTGCAATGTGGATTGAAATCTCTTCTATCATCCTACAAGAGAAGAAAACATATGCCCTCACCTGCATGGAATGAGTGATCCCAGGCTGCGTGTTGCTCCAATTGCAGCTGGAAATGTCCTTAGTGGTAGCTCTACAATGTGCTTTTCTCTATTACTGGAAAAATGGTCTGGAATCAGACTCCCCACAAGAGCAATAACGGTGGAAGAGAGGCTGTTCCACGCACAGGAAGCCTGTCGAATCCTGTCTTCTGCAGGGGTGATAATGGTATCGTGCTGGGCTGAAATCATGGCAGGCAGATGGGTTTTGCAGAGGCAGCTCAGAGTAAAACAAGGCCATTTAGAGAGTCGCAGGCAGGACAGGCTGGTGCGTGCTAATTACCAGCTGCCTAGAAAATGGGATACGGAGATAACGTTGTGTTTGCTATAGAAATAAGAACTGTTATCAAACCCAATTGGCTGAGGAATGACACAGGGGGTGCCTGGGGCTGCACTCAGAGCCGAAATTGAATTGCAACCTGGGAGCAGGAGGGCTGAGAGAGCTTCTAATCGAGTTATCCTCTAGGCAGGCAGGAGCATCCATCCTGATAAGAGCCTGTGATGCTTCTTAAGAACCAGGATGGACGAGGGCAGAGCAGGATCCCAGAGATACTGAGAGTGGGGAGAAGGGACAGCAGAGCTGCCTGGTAACCACAGATGTCACAGACTGAGAGGGCTGCCCCATCACCACTGAGCCCAAGGGGAAGCTTTGAGGTGACTTAGCAGTACCCAGAGGTCACCAGACAGCAAACCCCATAGACATTCACTAGAGTTTGAGGTAGCAGAGATTTAAGAGCAGTCTGGACTGAGACACAGCCCAGCTGCACTTCACTCACCTCATGAACTCAAGGGGCTTCTTTATTTGGATGCTTCAATTCAATTCCCTCCTGTAATACTGGAGAAAAACAACCAGAAGAGCTTGGGGTAAATCTGCAGGATTAACTGTGTGCTGTAGCTGCTAAAGAGAGGCGAGAAGATGAAACATAAATCATGTGTTTCAATGAGGAAGTTGTCTTAGTGAAATGGAGCTGATCAGGTTTATTTATAGTGGCAGGGAGAGTATATTAAAAACAAACAAGTGGTAAATCAGCAAACAGTGCAAATATTGAGCTTTGACTGCATCATGATCCCCCAGCTTTTTACTTAAGCACTTCCTTAATTCTGCTTTCTTTAGTAAATGAAAAGCAGAAAACAAGAGGAAATGGGGAAGAAGAAACCACAACAGGAGAGGATGAGCTTATTAAAACAGTGGGGATAAAAGAGTCCTGCCCTTAGCTCCTGTTTGTGGGTGAAGCACTGCACCTCTGCGTGCCTCAGTTTCCCCCACACACCATCAAAAGCAAATGCATTCTTTATGCCTCTTTCTTCATAGAGGGACCCCTACCCTTCTACAGGGCACAGAGTGATGGGAAAGGGAGCAGTGGAGGACATAGGAAAACACCACTGCAGGGACCCATAGGGATTGCCTTGCCTGGCCCATGACATTCCCCAAACGAGAGAGGCAGTTAATGAAGGGTTTTGCACATCCCCTGTATTCACTTGGGGATAACACTCTGGATTATCCTTTGTCTCTCTCAGGGATGGCATTCCTCCCTGCCAGTGTATCCTACCTCATCGGCACCAACCTCTTTGGGATCCTGGCTAACAGAATAGGCCGGTAAGTGGAACGTCAGAGATTTCAGCTCAGCCCAAGCCTGTGCTTTCAGCATGAATCGTGCTCATGGAGCGGTGCACACTGAGAACATCTCCTTCTCCTAACTGAGACCTCATTGCAGGTGGCTGTGCTCCATGATTGGCATGGCTGTGGTGGGAATCAGTCTCCTTTGTGTAAGTAAGATGATTTTGAGACCCTTCTGCAAGAAGAATCAGCAGGGGCAGCGTGGGCAATGGTGCTGACATAGGGTTACACACCTGGCAGATGCTCAGCGGTTGCACTGTGTTACACCTCACACAGCTCTCCTATCCTCATCCCTTCATCCTTTCCTCTCAAAGGTACCTCTGGCCAAGACGATTTATGGCTTGATTGCCCCAAACAGCGGGCTTGGCTTTGCCATAGGTAAGCTGCTGTGGTCAGGCTGTGTGACACGGCTCAAACACAGCTCTCACCACTCGGAGGGGGAGAGGGCTGATCAGGTCCTTCTTGCTTTGGGCAGGCATGGTGGACTCCTCAATGATGCCCATCATGGGCTACCTCGTGGATCTTCGCCACACCTCCATCTACGGCAACGTCTATGCCATAGCTGATGTCGCCTTCTGCATGGGCTTTGCAATTGGTATGGAGGAACACTTACTCACAGGATGAGATGCTTACTCAGTGTGTATCTCACTCAGTTGATCGCTCCCTTTCCTCCACCCAGTGTTCACTGCAACCAACCAGCACAGAATCCACAATCCAGTCACTGCAGACCCATAGAAACCCTCTAAACTGGAAAAGCACCTTTTGCTCTCTGTCATCCTAAGTCCTTTTTGGTTATAAACTTGCAGGCCCATCCACAGGCGGTGCGATCGCACGCGTTATCAGCTTCCCCTGGCTGATGGTCATCATTGGTGTCATCAACATTGCCTACGCTCCTCTGTGCTGGTACCTGCGCAACCCCCCTGCTAAAGAGGAGAAGATTGTGAGTTTAAGTACATTTAATTCTTGTTAAGTACTCAAATTAATCCCCAGTGTTACTAAACCATGATTTCTCTTCTCCTCTACCCAGGCAATCTTAAGCCAGGAGTGCCCCATGCAAACCAAAAGCTACACGACCCAGAAAACCATGCATGATTTCCCTCCCACAGGCAACAGCGATGTGGAGGCAGAACATGCGGAATAGCACACACAAGGATGCATGCCATGTATTGAAGCTAATATTATGGTTATAGAACATGGATGTATCAGCACCTGGGAATATCCCTGACTCCCCCAAGGCTTCTGGACCCAGGCTGTGTCACTGACCTGTTCTCTTAGCCAAGCAACCCAGAGCAGGGAGCAGAGACTTGGGATTTGGAGGCTCTATGCGATTAGTTGCTCTGTGACTTGTAGGCAAACTGACCCAAACTCAACACATCTCATCTGTACAACAAAAGTTATGAAGAGGAGGAGAATCCTATCACCCTGTCCTGGCACAGCGTGTCAATAGTATTGACATCTCCTCTTGATGAGTGCAATGGTATTTGTTAATGCCTTTAAATAGAATCCCAGACTGGTTTGGGTTGGAAGGGACCTTAAAGCTCTTCCATTTCCAACCCCTGCCACGGGCAGGGACCCCTTCCACAGGAGCAGCTTGCTCCAAGCCCCTGTGTCCAACCTGGCCTTGAGCACTGCCAGGGATGGGGCAGCCACAGCTTCTCTGGGCACCCTGTGCCAGCGCCTCAGCACCCTCACAGGGAAGAGCTTCTGCCTAAGAGCTCATCTCAGCCTCCCCTCTGGCAGGTTCAAGCCATTCCCCTTGGCCTGTCCCTACAGGCCCTTGTCCAAAGCCCCTCAATAAAGATGTCACTGTGCTGCTAACGTGCTCCTTGCTCCTTTGAGACAGTTAAACAAATGCTCATCGCTATCTCCCTATAGCTTCATGTGTTGTGCTGTTGATGTGTAACTTACAGCTGCTTGTGTGTCCTTTCCAACATGCATCCAATTAATTATATGAAGTAATTCAGGTAGAAATAAGGCTGGAAAGAGTTTCAGCCCCTTAGACACATACTCTCCCAGCAAAGCTGGTTGAATCACTTGTGATTGTAAGTGACTAACGGAGGGGTTTTAAAACCCCTGCCTCTCAGCTGAGATGGGGCAATAGGCTGTGCTTGGGATCCAACCCATAGCAAGGATAAGTGCAAGAGGTTTAATTACCCTGCTGCAATTTCCTGGTCCCAGGTTTAGAAATGGAGCGCTGCACTGTTAACAATGGAGTTTAATGGGCTGTAGAAGTACGTTCTAGTAAGTTAATCCTGTGAGTATCTGAGAAATTCCCATGATCTTCTCTTTTCCAGCAACACCTCAACCTCACAACTTGTCTTTTCCCAGCCCCTATAAGCTCTTTTCAGCCTGGAATGAGCACCTGTGTCATGCACAGCCACTCCCCTAGCCAGAAAGAACAGCAGCACAATGCAGATGCATTTGCCAGCAGGGAAACAGGAGGGTAACAGCAACTCATCAACATTTGGTACCTCAGGACTCATTACCAAAGGGCACAAAGGGCTGTTGTCGATGTACAGCGTCCCACATCCATGCTGGGTTGCTCTGGAACCCCTCCAGCTGCCGGCACCGGGGTAACATCGGATCCTTAAGCGCTGCATGGGATGAGAGGCACAGCTCTTCGCTGCTCCATCCGCCACCTCTACTGCGAATGAATTCATTGAATTAACGAATCATAAATCAACTGCAGTGCAATTATTAATTAACTAATTAATCCAAAAGACACTAACGCGAGTTTCTTTGCTCCGAATGAAACGTTTTGCCCCAAACAGCCCAACTTTTTTACCCACCCTGCTGAAAACCCCTCAGTTCAATGGGGAGTGCAGCAGGAGCGGCAGGAGCAGGCACAAAGCGCCAGCTAACACGTCACCACACCCAGGCCCCGCCCCTCCCCTTAGGCCCCGCCCCCTTCTCTTTCTCGCGAGATTTCACCTGTCCCGCCCCTTCCGGCTATGGCGGCGCGGTAGCCGGGCAGCACCGACACCATGCACTCGGACGACGTGAGTCCGCCGGTTGATTCGGTCCGGTCCGCATCCCTCCCGCCAGCCGCGCCGCAGCCAATCAGCGCCCGTCCCGCCGCTGAGTCGGTTGCGTCCGGCTGGGGCGTACATCCCCCCCCCCATACCGCGCCACAGCAACACGTGGCGGGGAGGCGCCCCCCCGGCCTCCAACCGGGGCGTGTTATGGGGAGCAGTTACATGGGGGGGGGTAAATGGGAAGGGGGCAGCACACGTCACCCCTCCCCTCGGTTCTTGCTCTTCAGTGGGGTGCAGAGAACCCCAACAATTGGGGGTGCCCCCCCCCAGAGCCTCACAGCGGTGCTGCCGGAGCCAGGGATGCATAAAGGGTCCTGGGTCAGTGATGTCGGGGTGTGACACCCGCTGTTTGTGCTCGCAGGTTGTCTGGGACACGCTGGGAAACAGGCAGTTCTGCTCCTACAAGATCACGTGAGTTTTGGGGGGACAGGGTAGGTTGAGCCGAGGGGTTCTACTCTGCATGGGGTGCTTCAAGGGGAGGGGAGCAGGAAGGGCAAAGCTGGGTGCCTCTCTGGCATAGAATCAGAATGGTTTGGGTTGGAAAGGACCTTAAGATCATCCAGTTCCAATCCCCTGCCATGGGCAAGGATGCCTCACATTAGACCGTGTCACCCAGGTCTCTGTTTTTGACACTGGCAGGGATGGAGCGTTTACCACTGTTCCCAAAGGTGAGGGTGTTGGGATGCTCCCACCCTTCTCCTTCATTCTCTCTCATCTTTGCAGGACAAAAACCCAGAACTTCTGCCGCAATGAGTACAACCTGACGGGGCTGTGCAACCGCTCCTCCTGCCCGCTGGCCAACAGCCAGTATGCCACCATCAGAGAGGAGAAAGGTGAGGAGGGCAATACTGTCTGCCCCAGGGCACCCCGGCCCCCAGCACACCTTCCCTGCCCGGGCTGCATCATGTCTCTGCCAGCATCACATTGCTCTCTTCTCCAGGTCGGTGTTACCTGTACATGAAGACAATAGAGCGGGCGGCTTTTCCTCGTCGCCTATGGGAGAGGGTGAGTGAATGGGAGTGGGTTGTGTACCAAGAGGCAGCTGAAGGCAGGGAGTGATGGGCCAGATACATCCCCACATCCTTGCCACTCCGTAGCCCAACTCTTTCCCCACGTCAGGTCCTGCTCAGCAAGAACTATGAGAAAGCACTGGAGGAGATCGACGAGAACCTCATCTATTGGCCACGGTTCATCCGACACAAGTGCAAGCAGCGCTTCACCAAGATCACCCAGTACCTCATCCGCATCAGGAAGCTGACACTCAAGCGACAGTAAGTGACAGGACTAAGAGTGATCATGGTGTGATTTATGGAGCTGCTGCCTGTCCCCTGGGTCTCTGTCTCTCCCCACTGCACTTGGCTGTTCTGAGGCTTTGCAAAGCTCATACAGGGACCTGGCCAAAGCGGATTTAACTGCACCATAGTCCAAGACCCTAGCTGCAGCCACACTTTTAATGATGTAAATGCTGGTTGTTGGCCTTAATGAGCATTTACTCATCTGCTGCAAAAGAGGTGGACAGGTGCACTAACTAGCACTTGATGTTCCCTGTAGGAGGAAGCTTGTTCCTCTACGCAGGAAGATTGAAAGGCGGGAGAACAGAAGAGAGGTAAAGCCACTTCTTCATCATCTTGTGTCTGTTGCTTTTGTTGCACACATCAGACAACTGACACAGCTCCTCTCTGCTCTGTTAGGAGAAAGCCCTGGTTGCTGCTCAGCTGGATAATGCCATTGAGAAGGAACTACTGGAAAGGCTGAAGCAGGATACGGTAAGGATCAGCAGCTCTGACTGCCCGTGGGCCTCCAGGGAGGGACATGGTCCTTGGTGTGGAAGGGAAGCACCAACTGTATGGGAAGGGTAGCAGGTGACAGCACGCTGCCCTGCTTGAGTGGCTTTGTAACAGAGGACTTGCTTCATCCCAAAACAGAGCCACCCATCTCCTGTAAAGAAGCACGTCCTTCAGAATTAGGGAAGGGACTGAACCCCATGCTCACCCCAGTTTGACACAGGCCCTTTAGATGATCCTCCCACCCATGGCTGAGCTCCTCCTGTGACTTACAGAAAATCCACATATTCCTTTTCAGTATGGAGACATTTACAACTTCCCCATCCACGCCTTTGACAAAGCTCTGCAGCAGCAAGATGCAGAAAGTGAGAGCGAGTCCGATGCTGAGAAGGAAGAAGAAGATGACGAGGTAACGCTTTGAGCCACAGCACCACAGCTAATCCTTCCCTGAGCTGGTGCAGCACCACCAGCTCGCCAACATGCCGGGCACTGGAGTGTGAATGTTGGGGTGACAGGAAGAAACTAAGAGAGGTGAACTAAGAAAAGTGTGTGTACAAGTGGTGGCCTTGATGGCTCTTCTGTTGCTAGTCACAACACTGCACTGTGCTCAGCATGGAGGCATTAGCTTCTGACTTTGTGTCTTGCAGGACATGGATAAAAGAGAGTTTGTGGAAGGAGATGACAGTGACCTCAGTGACTTTGAGGTAAGTGAAGCACCAGCTATAAAGTATCAGGGCTAAGCTGTTTGAAATGAATCTCCTCCCTCTTGGTGTCTCTGGTGATGGGATAATCAGATTTGTGGAACACAATGATACAGTCAGACTGTGCTGGATCCACTGCACCCCAGCTCCTCTGGCAAGACAGCTGGGAGCCAGGATTAGAAAATGGAATTGAATACCTAATTGTGCAGAAAGGAGGTTTAGTTACACAGCATGCTTTGATGTCACTCATCTTTCTTTCTCAGGACATGGATAAGTTAGAGACAAGTAGTGAAGAGGAGCAGGAAGTGGAGCAAGAAGTAGAGAAGAAAGCCTCTCACTCCAAATCTAAAGGGAAAACTCCCCTGAAAGGACCAGCCAGAAGAAAACGTCCTTACATTGAAATAGAGTATGAAAAAGAAACAGAGCCAGCCAGCAAAACAAAAGCAGCCTGACTCCTTCAACCTGCACTTTGTACTGAATGACAGGAACCCCTTCCAGCTTTTGCCACTCTGCAGGACCCTTGATAATTGCTCCTTTTTCCATTCTCCAGACTTTTATTTAAGAAAAGAAAGGGTTTGGACCTGACCCCAGGCAGTTGCAGCCAGTTTGTGCTTACGTGAAGCAGTTTTAAGCAAGAAGATCTGACCTTCTCTACAACCAGACAAGGCTCAGCTTGAACTGTGTGCTCCAGGAAGGAACCTGGGCTGGGGGCACTGCTGCCTTGTTCTAAAGCTGTAGGTAGGTGAGCACACAGTGTGCCTTCCTTGGGAGAGGTATGGGGCTGATGGGTGGGAGGAGCAACACAGCAACTTGAAATAAATAAAAAAGAGTTTACTGTCCAAAAAGGGGGTGAGCATTGATCACACCTCACGTGTTCTCTCGCACTTTCCTGATGCACTCCCTCACGCGGTTCTCCTCGCAGCTGCTGTACACGCCTTCCAGCAGGTCCTGAAACGAGAGCAGCATCAGTTCCTAGTGCCATGGCACACTCAGGTTTATGGTGTTATCAACCCTGTCCCAGCTATCTGTTGGCAGTGAATTACACAAAGCATACAGAGATCAATTCACTTATCGTACAACCCCCCACACCAGTTACACAAAGCATACAGAGATCAATTCACTTATCAATCAAGTCAAGTGCTAATGCTGCGGTGGGTGGAGTCTTTCATATGCTTTCAATACACTGTATGCTGTATGTTACTGTATGCTTTTAATACACTGTTGGGCTGAGGAAGGAGGTGGGGGCTCTTGCATGGTGCTGCCCCTTGTAAGGAATCAGAGAGGTCCCCAGCTCACCTTCACTTGCCCTTCAGAACAGCGATCCAGCAGGATGAGGCATTCAGTGGCCCCTTGGAGCAAGGCAGCTTTTACAGGCTCTGGCGTTGAACCCTGGTCAGTGTGCACGTCCCAGAGCATCTTCAGCAGGGCTTTCAGGAGCACAGGGAGCCTGCATGGCATTCTGCAAAGGAAAACAGCAATTCCACCTTATTCCAAATCCTCTTTGCAAGCCAGGGAAGAGCATAGCCTTGCTTGGCAGTCCCTGGACACTTCAGGCAGGAACTGCCATCTGCCTTTAGGTGTGGAGAAGGAACTGCAGGACAACTGCTTCAGCAGTGAGGTTGAGGAAGCTGCAACGCTCAATGTGCCCACCAGAGGGAGGACAGACACAGGCCCTGAACACAGAGGTAGCCCTGGGATGGAGTTATCAAGAATGCCTGCCATGGGACACCCCAATTCACAGCACAGGCCTTACTCTGCAATAGCTGCCACACACAGATTTAGTTTTCAGCCAAGCTGATGCTTTTAGAACAGGCAGAAAACAGATCACAGAGGACCCAGCTTAGTTTTTCAGTGAGGTCATGCCAGTGAGTTCTCCCTGTGACAGATTCTCCCTTCAGATTTCAGGGCCTTTTCTTCAAGCAACAGAAACTTTGGCTCTGAAAGGGTGACAGCATTCAGGATGTATCCTCTGTAGTGTCTGGACAGGTACCTGGGCCAAGCATGCTTTATGGTGCACTGCAGTGTCTCCAGTATTCCCAGTCGGGCTTCTTCCTCAGGGCCATCAGAGACTTCCAGATACCCCAGGATAACTCGCTCCAGCCTCTTCAGGTGCCGTGCTATCAGGATGCCAAGGCTGCCAACATGAATAAGAACACACTGAGAAGGGAGATGAATACCAAGGGCAAAGCAGGGCCCTGCAGGGCTGTGGGGGCTGCTCTCACCTCTGCACAAAGGCAGGCAGGGCCCTGGCGTAGACCCGCCGCAGCGCAAGGCGATGCTCTGCCTCCATGTGGGTCAGAACCAGCTGCAGCACCTCATCACAGTGAGAGGTTGGTCTGACCCGCTTCTGCTGCCTCTGAGCTCTCTCCAGGACTGGCAGCAGGTCCAGCAGGCACAGCAGCACTGCCTAATCCAGTGAGAGACAGTAAATGCGGGCAATCCTGCTGATGTCCCCTGCAAAACACCAGGAAGCCCCAACCCCGCTGACCACCCACAGCTCCTGCAATTCACCTGACAAGACACAGCTACTTTTACTGCCCATTTCCAGCCTTATTCAGCAAGGCTGCCACTTGGAAGTGGACAGGAGGCAACAGGTCTTCCCTCTACTGTGGTATTTCTCTGAGAGCTACTGAGTTTGTCTCTTGGCCACAGGTATCAGCTATTAACAGCCTGACTGGACTGTCTGCAAGCAAACAGGTTCTGCCTCCTCATGCCTTAAGCTGGCTGACCCTCATGGGACTGATACACAGTACTACAAGGCAGATTACAATGAAGATCTGCTGCCCTACCTGGATGAGAGTGGCCTCTCGTGAATAGAGGTGGTTGTAAAGGGCATGGTACACAACCTCAGCCCTGTTGAACTGGCACAGATCAGCACCTGGCTGCAACAACAGAGAACAAAAGGTTATTCTGTGCATCCCATTCAGCACCCAGCTAACGCAGTAAAAGAGCCTCCCCAGAGCCTTGCACAGGCTGTGCCTTAGGAACACTGCCCCCTTACCACGTTCAGAACGATGTGATGCAGGCAGCGCACACCCAGGAGCTTGTTCTCCTCCCGGTAATCGTCTGAGATGAGCAGTGCTGGTGGGAGGACCCGCTCCAGGTAATGGCTGAGCCAGGGCCGGGTGACGTGAGGCAGTGTCCAGGAGAACACATGCTTTGTGGCGGGGTTCCGCTTCCAAGTGTCTCTGGGAATACAAACCTCAGCTCAGCAAACACTGGGGTTAATGAATGCTCCCTGCTTACACATTTAGGCCTCTTGGCTGACAGTAAGCTCTGATTCCCCCCACCCTCCCCCCTGCTTTCAATCATTAGGTGTTTGTAAAGCTCTAGCCCCATATTCTTCATCCAGTGTCTTTTAATACCTCAGCCACACAGATTTCCCCCAAGCTTCCAGTATTTCCTACAAAGAGACCAGCCAAACACGCCTTTCCCCCCATCACAGCCCTCCCGTTCCTACTCACTTGGTTAACTCCTGTTTCAAGAGCCCCATCACCGCTGCAAACCTTCCTTCCTCATCTTCACTCTTCCCCCGAAGGAACTCAGCCACAGACCCGCACCCTGCGGCCTGAACCAGTGCCTCCAGCAGCTCCCGTGCCACCGTCTGCGACCTCCCGTTTGTCCAGGGCCTCTCCACGATATGGGTGGCAGCGAAGATGTAGACAGGCCCCATCACACGGCGCAGGATGGGGCCCACCACGGGGGCACCCAGAGACTCCTGCGCCTTGGCAGCTTCCAGCTTCGCCAGGAGGTGCAGGAGCACTGCCCCGACATCCGCTGCTCTCTCAGCTGCAGCCGCGCACACACCGTCCTTCCAGGGCACATCCGCGGCCTCTTGCTCCTGCTCCGGGGGGGCTCCGTACCGGCTCAGCGCCAGCACCAACTCACCCAGCGTGGCGGGGCACAGGCCCTCGAACAGCCACCGGCAGTCCGCAGCCTCCATAAGCGCACACAGGTCTCGCACCGCGCCGGCTTTGGGGGCACCGCCGGACAGGAGCTGCCCGATCTGGAGCAGGACCTGCTCGGCCGGGGGGACAGCGGGGGACGGCTGCGGCCCGTCCCGCTTCAGGGCTTGCACTAGGCCGCTGAGCTCCATAGCGTGATCCGCACCCCAAGGCCGCTTCCCGCACCCCAGGGTGAGCTTTTAAAGGCCCCTTTAAGCACCGCTCACCGGCAACGGGCAGCGGGCAGCGGCCCACGGGACAGAAACCCCCGGAGCCACCGCCGAACCCCTCCGGAGAACCGGCTTCAGCCACCGTCGCAAACTCCGACCCTTTGCCGTAAAGGCGGTGAGGATGGGGGCGTGGTTATGTGTGTATAAATTAGCATGGATAATGACTGATAGATAAGCGCTTAAAAGTGAGGTAGCGCCGCCAGGATAAAGGGTGAAAGGAGGATGATGAAGGTGAAAATAGTGGCTGAGAAGGATGCTGCATCCATAAATGGGGGAAAGCATGTTTGGGACTCCTCTCTCGCCCTCACCTAGGGGTGAGCGGCTCGGCGGTGGGGCTGAGCGCGGCTGCCTCATTCCCGATCCTTCCGGTTCATAGCAAATGATGAATGGGAGTGGCACGCGCTTGCGTGACGTGTGCGCCCTGACGTTACGACGTGGCACAGTTCCCATCTGAGCTCCCGGGGGGTCAGCGACGTCACTGATGACGTCATTACGGTTTTGAGTGCTAAGTGAGGAAATGTTCAGAGCAACGTGGGTGCGCGCGTCGGTTTTGGGTCAATTTCAGCCGTTCCGAGCAATTTTGTCCCGCCCGTCGCCTCCCCTCGAGCACTCCGGAAGTGAGAAATCACCCATTTAATCTCTTTTCACACCAAAATGTGCCCCCCCCCAACCCCCATAGGAACCAGGTACAAAAATACTCTATGCAGCAAAGAGGGGAGAGCGGGTGTCCGTACAACCCCCCCCAAACCAATCCAGCGCCCTGCGTTGCAATTCCCAGCTCCCAAATCCTTCGGGAATGAACTGGGCGATGCAGCCCCCTCCAGGAGCCGCGGTCCAGCAGGGATGTGAATGGCAAAGAGCAGAGCGGCTCACACCAGCTCATCCAGGAGGGTGCCGATGCCGGCGCGGGGCTGTGCGGGACCCGCCATGGGCTTGTTGCACATGGGGCAGACGCAGCGGACCTCCAGCCACTTCACCAGGCACCTGCGGGGCAGGAACACGGAGGGGTGGGATTCCAGCGGCAGGGAAAGGGCCGCATCCCCGCATCCCTGTGCTCACCTCCTGTGGAAGGCGTGCTGGCACGGCAGCACCCCCAGCTCCTCCTTCACCTTAAAGTCTTCCAGGCAGACGGCACAGGTCTGCTGTGGGAGGTGAGACAAGGGTGAGGGTGGGTGTGAACACATGGCTCTCTGCTCCCATCCCTAATGCTGTGGCTGGGGAAATCCCGCTGCTGTGCTGCCTCTTCCCGGGTATTTCCAGCTCCCAAAATGCCCCCAGGGAGGGGGATTCCCTCCCAGTTCCCAGCCATCCTCATCTCACTTTGCTTGTGAGCTGCCTTTGAGCCCATGGAGCAGACAGGATGTGCCCCAGAGCATCATCCCCGTTACCCCCAACTCCATCCCATTCCAGAGGCAGAACCACTCACCCCGTGCACATTCAACCTCCGGGCATCACCTTTCAAAACCACCTGAGGAAGGAAAGGAGGCAGAGGATTTAACACCCAAAGGGATTTTGCCTGGGCCACAGCATGTCCCATCACACCACTTCCGAATGCACTGAGATGCAATGAGCAGCATCAATCCCTGCTGCATCCCCACCGGCCTGCATCCACCACCCATCCGGCCCCAAATCACTGCAGGTATGTGCAGTATACATATATCCTGTATAGAAACAACCAGCCTCTTTACCTCCTTGTACCCGAACCGCTCACTCTGCGCCTGGTGCCGCAGTTTGCTGCAGAGGGGGAGAAAAAGATGCTTTGAGCTTTACAGCATCCCCAAGGGTCACATCAGTTGGGTTTAAACCATGACAACAGCACAGGCAAAACCACACTGGAGGCACCCGAAATCAGGGGAGCGCACCCTTCCCAACCGGGAGCTGGGGATAAGCAGCTCTGAGGCTGTGTCTGTGCCATTGGAGCAGCCCCTGGTCATGTCCCAGGAGCACCACGGGGCTTGTGCCACCTCCAGAGCAGGCAGGAATGGGCAGTGGGGAGCGATAAGAGCCAGCAGCCCTGATTGTTTGCCTTAGGAAGTCGTTCATGGTGCAGGAAGCGCTGTATTTCCAGCTCCCAGCCCCACTGTGACCTTGGCCAGGGGAAAATCACCCTGCAGAGAAACGGAGCAAGACGTGGGCACAAGGAGACCGCTTGCAGTGGGGCTTCTCTTCCAAATGAGGCACTGAGATGTGCTTCCATGATCCCCCCCAATGGCCGAGAGGTGCACAGGGCATCAGCAGAGCATGAGCATCCCATAGGGAATGACTGAGGCACCCGAGCCCTGCAGGAACACCAGCTGCTGCCTCGGCTCTGGGTTTATAAATAGCCCTCCCTGTAATGTACAGACACATCCTCCCTTGTGCAGCCCTGCTCCTTCCCTGCCCGACACAATGCATCCCTCCGTGTGCTCCCCTGGAAAACAAGAGCCCCTTCCTGCGTTTCCTGCCATGCTCCAGCCATAGGGAACACCAGGGACCACGAGCACGGCCCTGCTCTTCAGGGCACATCCTTATGGCGACTGGCTCCATGTTATGGAAGGGATATGGGAAAGGGCTGGGGGTACCGCAGGGATGCAGCCCCACTGCTGCAGGCCCTGGCTCACCTGATGAAGTAGCAGCAGAAGATGAGGCTGAGCACGAAGACAAAGATGCCGGTGCCAAAAATGACCATGTAGATGTTCAGTGGGAGGTCCTGGAATGTGATGGGAGGCATCGTGCAGGGTTTACTGGGAGGAATCAGCCCCAGACGGCAGGAGCACCCTTTGGGGGGGAAGAGTCAGAGTTTAGGATGGAGGAAGGGAGAGAAGTGAAAAGGAGCTGCTGTGAGAACAGAGCGAGCCTGGGCTGGCTCCATCCCCTCTGGAGCTTGCAAAAGGGGGCAGAAACCAACACCAACACATAGTCTTGAGGGCTGTGAGGTGAAGATGTCCTCAGGAAGAGCCGCAGCCCCTTAGAGCAGCTCAGCATCACACACAGCAATGATAATGTGGTCACCCCAGAGGGGAAAGGCACAGGAACCCTTGACCCTTGGCACTGCCAGGAGCTGGTGCAAAGTCAAACCTTTTATGCCCCAAACCCACTGACCCCACAAGAGCCAGAGCTTTGATTTCCCATCAGATCCTGCTCAGACAGGACTTTAAAGGAGAGCAGCCCCCGGCCCCATCTGTGCTCCATGGAGCATCACCCCCTGCCCCTTCCGCTCGGTGCCATCCCATCAAGCAGCTCCTGAAGGAACACTTGTGGCTTCAATTATGGGCCGCCTGCTTCCCATGAGGCTGGAATTTGCTCTGTCCTATGGAGACAGGAAGAGAGCAGACGGCAGAAACCACTGCACAAGCACTGAGGTCCCAGGCTTGGTCTGCCTGGTTTCCCCCCTGCACTGTGGGCTCCATTGCCTGGGACATCTGGGTAGCAAGGAGAGCCCGAGCAGGGCAGGCAGGCAGCAGCAATGGGGTGAGATCCTGCCCCGGGACACTTCATTCCCTGCTATTCCCAGGTGTCTGCTTTGAATTCCCAAGTTCCATTGATGCAATGGCCACAGGCTCCGGGAGACAATTCATCTACAGGGCAAGAAAAGGAGGATTTGTTTGTCAAGTCCTTCTGCTCCCGAGACCTCCAGGTGCAGGAAAAGACAATGGGAAAATCGGTGGGGTTTGTTTTTTTTTCATTTCCTTGCTGGAAATGATGGAGAAATTCTCTGAAAAAAGAAGTGTTCAGCTCTGAAAGCAGCACTGAGCAGCTAAATAAGGTAATGCTGGTGGTGGGACACAGGCTGCAGAGCAGCTGTGGGTGGAACAGTGGGAGACTCAGCACTACAGAGAGCAGGGAAAGGCTGGGATGTGCATCCCAGAGGGTTCCCTGGAGAAGTACTCGATGGGCTGGGAATCAGAATCCCAGATTGGTTTGGGTTGGAAGGGACCTTAAAGCTCATCCAGATCCAACCCCTGCCACGGGCAGGGACCCCTTCCACTGGAGCAGCTTGCTCCAAGCCCCTGTGTCCAACCTGGCCTTGAGCACTGCCAGGGATGGGGCAGCCACAGCTTCTCTGGGCACCCTGTGCCAGCGCCTCAGCACCCTCACAGGGAAGAGCTTCTGCCTAAGAGCTCAGCTCAGTCTCCCCTCGGGCAGGTTCAAGCCATTCCCCTTGGCCTGTCCCTACAGGCCCTTGTCCCAAGCCCCTCTCCAGGTTTCCTGCACCCCCTTTAGGCACTGGAGCTGCTCTAAGGTCTCCCCTTCAGGAGCCTTCTCTTCTCCAGGCTGACCCAGCCCAGCTCTCTCAGCCTGGCTCCGCAGGCTCCAGCCCTTGGAGGATCAGGAGAGCCCCATGGGAGCCAAACCCTATCAATCCCATGCTAACCCTCCACAGCGCATCCCTCTGTGCTTTGTGGTCATCTTAAGGGGTTCAAACTCCAGCATCCAAACTCCTGAACATCACACCCAGACTTCGCTCCTCAACACAGGCTCGTCCCCCATCCCATGCGGCAGAAAATACCCAACCCCACGAGCCGCTTACCGAGCACTGCTCCGGGTTGGATGCCCGAATTCCCTATGGGTGGCAAGGGCTGTGTGTAAAAGCCACATGGGTGCTGAGAGAGCAGAAAACCGAGGTGGAACACGAGATGCTGTAACTCTGGTGCCGAAGGAAGCAGAGGAGCCGGTCTAACACGTCCTTGCCAGCCGCAACACAGCTGGCAAGGCTAAGTTTAGACTCACCAGCTTAGCAAGGGTCATTCCTGCTCAGCAGAACTCATGAGCTCCAGGCTGTGGTGCTGAAGAAATCCATGGCAATGCCCTGTCCTGGTGGAGGAGCAGCCATCGGCTCAGCCGCCATGGGAAGGACAAGCCCTGGAGCAGCAGGTCCCAGCGAGGCAATGGAGCCTGCCCAAAAGCCAGGTCCTCCCAGCCCCTTCCTGTCCTGCTCCTCCCCACGAGGGCTCCCCGACCCTGCTGAGCCATGGTTTCCATTAGCACAAAGCCCTTCGCCTGACAGAGGAGTTGGTATTTTTAGTTCAAGGGGAATGGATCTAATCTGGCTTTAACCAACACAAAATGAAGACCTGATGGGCGCCAGACCCAAACCAGAACAGCCCGTTTCTTAACTCGAGTTAGTTTAAGTAGTCTTAAGTCTAGTTAGTAGCTTAGCTATGCTAGTTTTGTACCTGACACCATAATGCAGCAGGCTGGAGCAATTGTTTAGTAGGAAAATGAGACAACAGGGACCACAGGCATCTATGAAAGCACCTACAGACCAGTGCTGACTATGTGCACTCTTCTCACTACAAGAAGATGGTTCATTTTACCGTGTTCTTCATGTAAACTGCAAACCCTCCCCTTCCTAAGGAGCAGCAAAGATGCAGTTTGACCTGTTGGGGCTGTCGGTTGCACCTCTCCTCCTCCAACCCACACAGCCAGATTGAAGTGCTGAGCTGCCCTAAACGCCCTGCTGCAAGCTCTGGTGAGGACACACAGTGCTGCTGGTTGAGCTGGTTCATGCGGGGAACCCCAGCCATGCTCCCCAAACCCTTAACCATCACAACCCCATTAATGGCACCCTCACGCTCCAGTGATGCTGCATGCTTTGGTCCTCTGGATACAGCAGTTCTGTGTTTTAAGTGAGGACAGACACAAGTTTCCACCCAGTGTGTGCAGGCACCGAGGTTTTGCTGAGCTGAGCTTCTCCCTCGCCCCGATCCTTGTTCAATGAAACAAATGGAAAACTCAGCAGGTCATTAAATCAAACCATTCTTTCTCCTCCCACACAAAAGCTGTGGGCTTTGCATCAGAAAAACTGAGCACAGCTCCCAGATCGTTTCTGCTGTGATCACAGATCACAGCATCCCAGACTGGTTTGGGTTGGAAGGGACCTTAAAGCTCATCCAGCTCCAATCCCTACCACAGGCAGGGACCCCTTCCACTGGATCAGCTTGCTCCAAGCCCCTGTGTCCAACCTGCCCTTGAGCACTGCCAGGGATGGGGCAGCCACAGCTTCTCTGGGCACCCTGTGCCAGCGCCTCAGCACCCTCACAGGGAAGAGCTTCTGCCTAAGAGCTCATCTCAGTCTCCCCTCGGGCAGGTTCAAGCCATTCCCCTTGGCCTGTCCCTACAGGCCCTTGTCCCAAGCCCCTCTCCAGGTCTCCTATAGCAACAGGAGGAGAATTCATGATGCAGAAGAGGAGCTGACATGCCCAGGCCACAGGGCACATGCTGTCTGTTAAGATACTCTGAATACACCTGGATACAGGTGGAAAATGAGACTTCTTCCCTGGGTTTCAGGCTTATTCCCACCAGTTCTGCAGAACCCCAGATGCTGTTTTGCTGGACTCTGCTGACCTCAGTATTTGTGAGCTTAGGGCTGAACAAGGGTGGGCTCTGTTCCTGGGGCTCCCCAAAGCCCCTGCCTTGGGATGCCAGCGAGAGCTGTTGCTGCTCAGAGCCTCTAAAAGCCAGGTCTCTCTTATTCAGGACGTTTCTTTACCACCAAGTTACATCTTCAGCTGGAGAGTGTTTACTCACACCCTGCTCACACTCACACCCCCCCATTCACCACATATCCACAGCAGCGAGTTGCAATGCGATGATCTTTAAGGTCCCTTCCAACCCAAACCATCCCGTTATCCTATGTCCAGAGCAGCACCGGTGGCTTCTCATCCCCCAAGCTGCCCAAGAGCCCACAAGGGATGTGTTACAGGAGAGGAAGCCGCTGCTTGTGTTATATTTAGCTTCGAAGGCTGTAACCCTTTCACAAATTAAAATCACCCAGCCTTTGTTGCTGGGGCAGGGCTTTGATGCTGGAATTCCCAGCGCAGCTTCACCACTCCTTAGCCATAATCAACCCCTTCTCCTTCCAACCAGACCCCCCTCACATGTGCAAACTCAGTTCCACGTTCCTGAGAATTCCTTACAGCCAACACCAGAGCCGGGGCCTCGCCTGGGGTCCGTTACAACCAGTTTATTCCCCATCTGCGGACACATGGAAGAGGTTTTGTTGGTTGCAGCATGGCAAATCCATTTAGGAGTTGGCCTCCTTCCTGGAAGCAGAAGCGCTCCCTGGTGCGCTCCTGCATGGAACTGGGGCTCCGAGGAAGGGCAAGGAGGGGGAAAAGGGGGATATTCCCCCCCATCGCCCCGCAGCAGGAGGGCGGGGAGCGGGACCCCATCGTACCCCAAACCCCCCTCCCATCGCCCCTCCGCGGCCCCGTTCTCACCGTTGCAGCCGGGAGCCGCTCCGCCGTGCGCGGCGCGGGGCCATGGCCATGGCCGGGAACGGGAACGGGAATGGGAATGGGAATGGGAACGGGAGCGGCCCCAAACCCCGCCCCGAGCCCCTGGGGGCCGCCCCCGGGGCCGCCCCAGCCGAAGGAGCGAAGCCGAGCACGGGGCGGTTGGACATGGGGGTGATGGGAGACACGGGGCGATCCCAGGCTGGATGGAGCAGTCCTGAGGAGGAGGAGTTGGGGGTGTTGAGGAGAAGCTCCCCATGACCCGGCTTCAGCGTGCGCTTGAGCCCCTGGTGTCTTGTGCAGGAGATGGCTTTGGACACGCTCAGCATCTCCATCCGGACTGCGCGGGTGACGGGGGACAACGAGGGGCTGTGAAATGGCCCCGTGTCAGGGACAGCAGCATCGCAGGGGCTGTGTCCTCCTCCTCCAGCAGCTCTGAGGATGGTCCCTGCTGATTGTGCTCCCCAAATCAGGGCGCATTCCCCCGCTGCACTGTGGTGCCCGTGGGCACGGCAGGCACACAGCAAGGTGCAGCATGCTGCGGGCTCCGGCACTGCTTGTGCTCTCTGGATTAGTGTGCTGATCCTCCATACACGACCTCCCCTCGTGCTCAGAGCCTCCCTGATCCCACCTTTGTCCAACAACAGCCCTGCTCCCCATTCAGAGCCCGGTTTGCAGCAAGCTGCACAAAGGGAGCTCTGCGGCAGCAAGGAGCACAAAGCAGAGCTGTAAAACCACAACGGGAGGCATTTCACAGCCCCAGGCCTTGCCAAGCTGCAATCATCCCCTGCCGAAGCTTCTGGCATGTCCAACAGTGCCAGCAGTGCCCCGTGCTGCCGCAGATGTGACCAGCCCCTGTGTGTTCTGTTGCTCAATACGAGTTCCTCCTTGCTCAGTGTCTGCAGCCCTTGCTCAGGGTAACTCAGGGTAACCTCAGCCCTGCTGCCAGCAGTTGGTCTCATCCGGTTGATGCTGTGCTCTCAGCACCCTGGGGCGCCTCATAAGTACACAGTCCCCATCCCAGGAGCTCACAGGGTGCCCCAAGCCGAGGGGCTCGCTTAACTCTTGCTCTGTGTGTATGGGATCTCAGCAGAACACATCGGCCAAGCAGAGCTTCCACTCAGGAAGTGGAGGAAGAATGGGGCTATAATAAGAGCGGGTGGACAATGAGCGTGCAGGCACAGGCTGGTACCCGTGGGACCGGTGCCATCACAAGCACTCACCCCTGGCCCTGGTCACCCTCCTAAGGCTCCATCCATCCCTTTTGCAAGCAGTGAAGGTGCTGTCACAGGTCTCAGGGGACAGCCAGACCTTCTGCAAGCCTGGTGCCTGCCTTTGGGAGACCAACATCGCCACCTCGTGATGGATGGTGCCCCTGGTGATGGCCAGAGCCCAGCTCTGCTGTCCACCAGGAGCCCATCAGTGATGGAGAAAAAGGAGTGGGGGGGCCCAGCACAGGCACTGGGGTCTGATGGGTTCACCCCTTGATCCGGGAGGACTCGAGTTCATCTCAGCCCTGAGCACTTGGTGATGCTCTCCCACCATCTCCGGTGCCAAGCCCCAGCCTAAACTCATAACGGCTCTCCCAAAGCACACAAGACTCTTTCCTTAGCACTGTCTTTATTTGTACAGGTTAACACTAGGCATGGAGGACATCCAAACACTGCGACACAAGGCCTGTTTGCCTGAGCCCACACGCCAGATCTACTTCACATTGCTACGCAGACCAAAAACAAATGGGAGACAAGACAAGGAACACACAGAGCTTCAGTCTCCTGGGAGGGAGGGACAGGACTGCCTTGGCAAATGCATCTGCCACATGGGAGAATGAAGCCTTAAAAGCTTCCTGGAGCCCACAGGGATAGAGTAACCTGTAATGTGGGGCTGAGTCCCTCTGGAGGCATCTTGGAGCGAGCAGGCTGGGAAGGATGCTATGTTTTACACCTACCTAGGTGGCAAGATTGCAGGTTGAGGGCCTAGGCATTACCACTAGGAATAGCTCAGATGTTTGGGGACCCCCTTAACTGAGGAGGAGGCCCAGGGGCCAGTTGCATGTAACCCATTAGCTGCCAAGCATCTGCACTGCGAGGAAAGCCCTATCTCTGCCTCTCAGTGGGCAATGGGATCGGGTGAGCATCACACACACAATGCTCTTCATCGCACACAACCCCTCTTCACGCACTCCTCTTCAGCCTCAGGGCATTGTCCAGGGCGACCAGCTGGCGCAAGAAACCCCGGTTGGGGATGATACCACGGTGGTCCTTGACCGTCTTTATGGCTTCTACAAGGGGCATGTGGTGGCGGATCATGAGGTAGGCGAGGACCAAGGTGGCCGACCTGCTCACCCCGACAGCACAGTGCACAAGGATCCTTCCTGGGGGTGAAACACAGGGGCTGTGTCGCAGCAGAGCCAGTATCCCCATTAAAATCTTACTGAGGATCCAGCTCTTTGTCACTGTGGATCCTGGAGCTCCAGCCCTCCGGATGTGCGGCCTTCTAGGGCCAGATGTAGGGCCCCAGTTATAGCATGGCTGTGATGCACTGAGGTCCCCCTCCTGGCAGAGGGTATCAGTGTATCCTTATCTGCCAAAACAGACTGAGCTACAGCTCAGGACACAGGTTGGGGCAGTGACCTGGGGTACCAGTGCTCACATCTAGCTTGTTTCCTCTTTGGAGGAGGTGATCCAGTGCAGGAGACACCATCCCAGGCTAGAAACACCATTGCTTAGCAATAGGAAGTCAATCTAGCTTCCCACCTTCTTCCCACCCCTTCTCCCCACTTCTCTCCCAGCAATCTTTACCACCGACCTTCATTCAGCGCTTGGTGGATGAAGTCAGCCGCAGGATAAAAGTAGGGGCTCATGTCGAAGGAAGGCGAGTCGTGGGCCTCGATGCCCAGGTAGCGGATGCCCGTGCCCTCGTAGTACTCAGCACCCCCCCTCCACTTGCTGTGCGAGGCGTTGAGGATGTGGGTGATGCGCAGGTGAGCCAGCTCGCGCCGGTTGGCTGCTATATCTCTGCAGAGAAGAGTGTGAAGAAGCATAGGTTTAGACCAGTTAACAGTTTCCAAGGACAACATAAGGGCTGCCCTGGACCATATTTACATCTGGATGCGAAGGTGAATATGCCAGACTCTTGTATTTTAACTCAATCTCAGTGTCTAGCTCCACAGCACTCCACCTACCCCACCACAGCAGTGCTCTGAACTCACACATCCATGCCTACATCCTTCCTCCTCCTTTGTCCCAATGTACCGTGCTCATCGCATCCTCCTCTCCCTCCCGTTTCCCATCCTCCCGCTCCCAGATTTCCCTATTTCCCGACAATATCCCTGCACGCCCGCAGTTCTTGTCCCCCTTCCGATACATACTGATCGCCCAGGTAGAGTCCTGGCCACACCTCATCAGCATGGTTACAGGCTGTCTTTCCCGTGTACAGCAACCTTTCCAGCTCGAAGACGCTGAGGATGGGGTGGTTGTTGCGCTCCTCCCGCGTGCCCCGGCTCGGTGACCTGGTGCCGTTCCTGGAGAACCTCGACAGGAAAGCCATTGGAGCTGCCGAGACCCACAAGGCATACCTGTGGGATCGTGAAGGCCGCAGAGTGGCCTGGAGGTTGCTTCTGCTGCTGCTGCCACCCACGGTCCTGTCACGGAAGCAGTGGAGATGACATTAAACCAGCTGGGGACCTCTCGCTCTATCCCTTCCATACAATCACTGGCCCAAAGCAGCCAGTTCTCACCTTCCTGGGGAGAGGTTTGCGTCAAGTCAGCTTCCCAGTGTGAGACAGAGCATCACCTACATCGCTTCCAAGGCTCAGTACTGCTGGGGAGAAGCTAATGATGCCAGGGCATCACCTACATCACTTCCAAGGCTCAATACTGCTGGGGAGAAGCTAATGATGCCAGGGCTGGTGAGAGCAGCCACAGAGGCAGCCAGATTGCTGAGTCTCCACAGGCTGCAGTTTTGCTCCAGCCCCAGGAATTTGGGTTGAGGCCACATTGGCAAGAGATGTTCTACACAGGACCACCTTCCTTCTGAGCTGGCTCTGGGGCTTTGCCTGCCAGCGGGACAATGCCAGCTCGAGAGCTGATGCTGCCAACCTGTGATCAGAAGCAATGAAAGGCGGCCAGGCCTGGGCAAGCCACCAGGATTGGGGAGGAAAAAACCCCAAACAGGTGGAGGATTCCATATGGCAGCACTCAGCGTCTGGCCAGGACCCAGACACCTACAGAGCAGGCACAAAAGCCTGTGGGGAGGGAAAGGCAGGATTAACCCCTCCAAGTACAGCAGTCCTGGCACTGCATTTGGACATCTAGGCCTGGTCTGGCGTGGGAAGAGTTAATTCCAGGGGATGAGAAAGCTCATTTTACAGAGCAGATCCTCAAGGATGCAGCCCTGCTCTCAGACCCTCAGCTCATGCCGATACTTGTCACACATCTGCATGAACCCCCCCGGACAGCCTTATGGAGCAGGAAACAGCCCCTGCAGCCAGATGCTCCTCAGAGCTGCCTTTTGTTGCTTGTTTGCTGCTGCCCTGCTGACAGAACCACGCACACATGAGAATACAATCCCCTGTCCTCAAAATCACTGCATCGCACTCTGCAAGGTGTCCAAAGAGCATCCCAGTGAGCCCCCAGCAGCAGCTCTGCACTGGTCAGTTGTCCCTGGGACTCAGGGAAGGAAAAGCTGTGACCTTGGGCTGGATCAGAGCATGTCTGTCTGCTCTGACATGTTGCCTAAGGCGCCGGCCAGCAGCCAAGGGTGCAGAAGGAAGGAGCCTCCAGCCATTCCTTGGCACTGTGCAGGGGAGGAAAACATTGCAAGGGCATGGGGGACCTCAGAGGGAGCGCAGGGAGCCTCATGGGTGTCTCCTTCCATAGCCCCTGTTCCAGGGTGGCAGCTCCAACCCTGCCTGGCACCCTGGGGTGCTGCACAGAGAGGTCAGCCCTGCCTTCACTGCCCATAGCACCGAGCTCCCCTAGGTCTCACCCTGACAAATCTCCCCTGCCCTGGTGGGTTTTGGACTCCTTCATGCTGGGAATTGAGACTTGGCAA